TTATACAGGCATCTATTTACATACAGGCTGTAACTGTTATTGATTTTATTATTTATATGTGAGATTAATTAAGAAATGACGTAAAATATTTTTATACACTAATATAGAATGACAGAGTAATACACAACAAAATACCATCCGAAATTAACCCTTCACATTTTAGGTTTCATTTGAACAGCGAGTGAGTGAGCGACAGGAGTATCGGTTGCAGATCTTAGAATCACACTCGAATGTAGGTAGTACGTACTTCACTCCGTTTTAGAGGCAAATCTACGTACCTACTACACACGAGGCAAACTCGTGAAAGCCCAGCGCGCCGTGCACGAAATGGGGCGAGCGGTTGAATTGGAAAGTTGTCGGAAACCGTAGGAGGCAGCGCGACTCTGGCGATATTAATCAGGGGATATGCAGTGGCGGCGCACACGTGCCCAACTTCAAGATTGGAATTTCCTAGCCGGCTCGTAACAATAATTGAGTCGAGCGAACTGCAATTTGTACGGCGGGTATATTGTGGAAGTGGACGAGTTCGCCACCAACAAGCGAGGCGAATTGGGCGCCCCAGTTGTTGTTGGGAAAATTCGGATTGCATTATGAAAACTATTCGCCGGTGATGTGTATGTAGAATTATTGCGTAATAATTTGTGTATGTAGAAGTATTGTGTAAGCGTTTACACGTTTCATCCGGGTAAGTACCAGGACCTCACAGAAGACCGGCGTAAAATAGAAGTGTTGCACTTCTAGTGAGTGAGGTAGCCGGGGCCCACTTTATTTAAAGTTGGCTACGCATTTGCAACCTTACGGGTGTTACAAATGTTCATAGGCAGCGGTTATCACTTAACATCAGATGAACCGCCAGCTCGTTTGCCACATTCTCAGGTAAAAAAAAAAAAAAATACGAGAATTAATACAATGACAAATATGTAATCAACATTATATCTAGAGAGATCAAGAATCTGGCAACTGTATACCCAAAACTTTGTATTTACTATTATTGTTTATCCTTACAATTTTGCACTGTTCTCGTTAATTATTCTCCGTCTCGGAGTTATCGCATCATAATTCTAAACATATAAGGCGAATTGTTCTCGAAAATCTCTGGCGTCAATCTTAGTGGTGCGAGAGGCAAGTGAAACAAAGCAGCTAGAAGTAACTCACTGAACATGCAAAATAACAACCATGGGCTCCTCGTAAAATCAACGGCGACAAACAACTTAAATGTATCGTCAAAAGAAATAAGAAGTTCGAACCGATGCGTCGTTAATACTGTTTTAATGCGAACCTACTGGGGCGTGTATTGTGCGCCCAGTCATTGTGGTCCCAAAGCGGTTTTCTCAACAGAAGTTATTATCAGCAAAGTGGAATGATTGTATTAAACATGAGCTGGAACTCTTCAAAAAAGAGCTGTCCGAACAATCTATAACATCGGAGCCCGGAATACACTCAGTGATATTTTTAAAGAGATTAATAGACACTGTTGCCTCCCAATATATTTATTGTAATATTTTGTATGTTAGAGATAATCTTAATTGTTATCTAAAGAATAGTGACAGACATAAATTAAATACTAGAAATAAGGACAAATTAATTACGCCATTGTTTCATCTATAAAAAGTAAATAGATCATTCATGGGGCAAAGTGTGCGCATGTATAATAAAATCCCACAGTCGGTATTAAGTCTGCCACTAGATGAATTTAAACGCAAAATTAAAAGTGAAGTTATGGCTAAAGCATATTATACCATTGCGGAATATCTTGACGACGCCATGATGGGGGGTTAATACTGTTGATACTCACGTAGGCTAAAATGACATACTTTTTCTGTTATATTGTAAACTAATCGTTTTAAAAAAGAGCAACTGTTGAGTATCTTGCCGGTTTGTTCTCAACAGAAACTGCTTTCCGAACTGGTGGTAACTTACGAACGTATTAATTTTTATGTAAAATTTTTGACATTTCATAAGAACGCGCAAGCGTCTATGTGATTAAATATATTTTTGATTTTGATTTTGGAACAAAGCAAAAAAAAAAAAACATTTGATACTTGGGACAAATACACCGAATTTATTCACAAACATATATGAGATCATTGATATTTGAATGACCTGACACAAATGATATTATTTCGCAAGCAGATAAACATTTCATACAAATATAATTTCTTATACAGCGTGCCTTTACAATCGTGACCATAAATGAACAGATATGAAGGATAAATTTTTAAAACTGTATTAAACATTTACATTATTTAAACATCAATATTTATCGAAATAAATAAATAAATATCAATATTTACCGAGTTATAAAATTTTCCAAAACAATGAATTTTAGAACACCCTTACGTATAAAACTGTAACGTAAAATTCATTTGTAAAGGTCACAACGCATATGAATGAGTTGAATGAATTTAAAAGAGACAAAATATTGTTAGAAGGAGAGGCTTGTAACGCGACGCTGTGGCAACGAATGAAAAAGTCTCTGAATGCATAAATCAGTCAGTTGTAGTTGTATAGGATGTTACAAGATTGTTTTTTACTTAATTAGTTTGTTTAAAAAATATTTTTTTTAATTATGAATTTTTTAACGTAAATATTTTTTATTATTATTGGCAAGTAGCGTTAGACGTGTGTTAATGTCGCGGTTGTAACGACACGCTGTATAAACAACAAATAATGATGATTATGACTATTAACAGTTGTATTGATTTCATCGCTATTTAATCCGTTTCACCTCTTATAGGAATTATCTGAACTACATTAACGTAAACATATTTCAGCGAAACGGTACCTATACATCCGCGAATGTACGTCAAACAGCTTACATGTTGATCGGGGTGAAAAAAAAACCTGAGCAAGTGAGACGGACAATTTCAAGATTATATGGGTCGAAGGTATTTGTTGAACATGAGCGCAAGGAGTTCTGGTGGAGTGGGTGTCGTTGGCGTCTGCTAGGCGCAACAGGCGCAATCCCCCCCCCCACCCCCCCCCCCCCCCCCCCCCCCCCCCCCCCCCCCCCCCCCCCCTCACACACTTACCCGTACCCCACTACCCATCCTTCCCCCCCTCCCTCAAAAAGCAACAGGCGCCGCACCCGACTTACTTGTTGAATCGACCGACCTACTAACGTCTCAATGAAGACGCCCGACGCGCCAAATTATCCCTGCAGAGATAAAGATCGCCACAAATCGGTCCGACCGAATTAGTGCCCGTATAAGTTACCACCGCTCGAACTGAGATTCGGGGCGGGGCGAAAGCAGCGCCGAACTAGCGTTGCCACATTGTTTTCAATGAGATAATCCAATATCCGTAACGGTAAAACGGTACACAAACAAGAGGACCGAGCAAACAGATAATATTACCCTGCCAATGGTAAACTCATATAAATAACCGATGGCATCAATAGTGATATTCTTTTCAGGGTATGAGGAGGGACTTTATTGAACCTCACGTTACAGAACAACGGAAATTATATTATTTCCTTTATTACAAACATTTCCAAAAAGTGTTTCCTTACAAATAAATAGAATAGATCAGATTTTTATCCCATTTCAATATTTTCTACTCACTTTATGTCGAACTACTATTAGTCAAAACATATAAAAGAAGTAACCTATAACAATATATATTATAATTACATTCTTCTAGTATAGATAAAGATATCTTATCAGATTCCTTATCCAGATGACCAACTGTGCATCATATTTTAACTCTCCGATCCCATATAATAATAATCGTGCATTGTTAACCAGAATTGTCACTTTCGGCTTAGCAATTCATTATAAGCCCTTTTTTGACTATTCTTCGAAAATCTTGCCTGATCATCGACCTTCCAGTGCATGTTTGATATTGTTAATCATATTGTGATACCTTTCTCGTTATCTAAGAAAAGCAGTTCAAAACACCGTCGTTAGATTCAGTAAAAAGGCCAATCACAAGGTCAATGGTCGATATTATAATATGTAACGTGACAACAACATTCCCATTCGATAATCCAATTTACGACATCCGGCTTACACGACATAAAGTAAGGACGAAAATAGAAGCCGACCGAAGAGAGAAGATTGAAAGCGCGAAGAGCCACTGCCAATGATGAAACAGGATTGCATTTCAGGGATCGCGACAGTGCGACTGGGAAAGTCACGAGAGCTCTTTCCGACGATAGATTTCGCGTCACTTACGCGGCATGCTCGAGTGCTGTGCATTCAGACTCAGCCCTCAAGACTGCTCGGATGTGTCGATGGCAGAGCGTAATGGAATGGAGTAAATATTAGCTCACCTACGGCCTACCTTCAAACAAATGTGCCGTAGTAATGTCTTAAAGTAAATATATGAACTTCCTTTGAAAATCGCAAGACAATACTTGATCTTATCTTTTTAAATAAATTATTTCATAAAATATATTGTCCCTAACCTAAAGAGTAAATTAATATTCGATGTACCGTATAGGTTTTTGTCCCGAGATCATATGTACTGTATTTTGTATAAATTTCTTAATATTAAGTTCATTAATGTTACTTGAAAGTATAAAGTATACTCCGCATGTGTATGAACCGCTCGATTATAGAATTATACTGTATACTATTCTTATTTAATGTATAAATATAACAATGGCTGGCAAACTAAATAAAGTCGATAACAGTTTTTGTTATTAATGACAATCAATTTTTAAAGTTTATTTATGTTTAATGTTAAGTGCTCAGATTAGCACTATAAAAATTTAAATTTCTAGGAGTAATATATTTAAGATTAAATCAAGTTTTATATAAAACGTATGAATTTCGCCGTGAATAATTGACAAGAAAAGATTTTTGTGTAATTCATGCTACAACAGCTTATACTTTTGCCTTTTTAAGTAGTCTACATTTTAGTTAAAAAAATATAACGTAGATACAATAGATCAATCGGTCAAACGTATTTAAGAAATTTAATTACGATCGATGACAATTGACTGTCGAAGATTACAGAAGATGTAATGAAATAGATAAAATTCTAATAACACTTACCTACTAAAGCCAAAATAACGGTTAGTAGTGGAGCGGCCGGGAACGACACCGTCACATTGAACTCCAGCATTTGAAGAAGATCAACTGTAACAATTAATATTTGTTACATGAAATGTAACCCAATTGTGCGAGAATCACTTAAGAGATAATAGATTAGTTTCTTCTTTAAATTTTACCATGGTAACGCCGCATTCTTGGAAGTTTTATTCTTCTGCGTTTATATCGTAGTACCAAGGGGACCTTTTAATAAAGGCAATCCATTGAAACATTACGGGTGATGCATATATGGGCGGCCGTTATCACATGACATCAGCTGAAACGCCAGCTAGTTTGCAACCAAAATAACAAAACAAGACAAAAATACTATCATTTTTCGGTCTTAAAAACTATCATTCTCATGGGGCAAAAACGCTAACCTAGCGGCAAGCAAGGTTTTATCGCCTCGACATTCACATTCTTACGCGGAGTCATAGACTGTAGTGTCGCTCAAGCTGAGTGACTATGACACTTCAAGAGTTACTCAGGCACTGAAGGTAATGACGATAGGCTATACGTTTGAAAGCGAAGCAAACCGGCCGTCGTGAAGCATAACCGAGCCGTGTATACGATGTATCTGAGAGCTGTAAGCCATTCACATCGCCCCCTAGAGCCGTGAGCGCGCGACACGACGCTTTAACGCGATCTAACGGCTGCCATATGAATTTTTCATGCTGCCCGAGGAGTAATGGTGTCGCCCGAGACGTCGGATCATTCTTTACGATCCGACAACGGCGAACCTTTAAAAATAATACGGCCATCGCAACACACCGGTGTAGTGGAAGTGGCTCGCACGTACACAGACGTATCCGTTAATCTGTCGCATTCTCATTTAGGACGCGTCGGCTGATGCAATTTGCTAGCTAAATGCAAATGGCACCGGGCCCGATAAAAAATGTACGGTCAAATGGGATCGTGCGGAGTCGCGCTAGGCTTTACGGCGGGCGAGTTTTAGCCGGGATCCGGTAATAAGATAAAGGTTTTATCGTCTTTTCGTTAGCGTAGTTCGCGTGCGCTACGATGCTCTCCAGTCGCCGGGGCTTTGAAGGACGGATGTTTGCTTATACGATCGGGGATTATCCCGGCACAGTTTCCGTATCAAGTGCGGTGCCCTCAATGTCGACGCCAAATCTTTTGATGTCGGTTAACAGAATAAAGGGGTTGACATGGCGCTTCCTGAAACATATTACTCCCTTCACGCTTTATTTTAGTTCAGATAGTTGATACGGTTATAAAACAGGTTAGAAAGATACATCCTGTCAACAACCGTAATGGTTTGTTATTATATTAATTAATATTAATTGGGTCATGTTTGCTTTACAATATGATGAAATGGCATAGACACTACGTAAATCCTATTGTAATTTATTCGCTTACTGTATATTTTAACGCGAGAATAAATTTCGTTATAATTCTCCGCCTCAACCCATAGATAAAAAACAAATATTAATTTCACTTCCGAGTTGCCTATACTTAATAAAAGTAAAGTAAAAGCCTGTACCCACTGTTGAGCAAAGGCCTCAGCTGTACAGAGTATAAGGGAGGAGAGAGGAGGGTATAAGGACATAGTAGGTAATTTTGACGTTCAAAAAGAGCTTAAAATAAGCCTATATTGATTAATTAAATTTTGACTTTCACTTTGACCACACGGCCCCTGTCCACAGTTCTCAGGGGCCACACGGCCCCTGTCCACAGTTCTCAGGGGCCACATGGCCCCTGAGAACTGTGGACTGAACTGCAGAACTGCGTACTTTACATAATTTCGTAATATTTCTTTTCTCATTATTTCGATATTAAATATGCAGGTTTCATCACGATGTTTTTGTATACCGCTGACCACGTGATACACCAGCACTTCAAAATTAGGGGCCGGCACTGGGGATCGAACTCAGGTTGCTCGAGTATATTAAATTAAAGGCGAGCACCCGGACACTGAGCTTCACGGCTCTTACTTCACAAAGCGAATTAAATTTTATAACTTTCTCAATTTCAGAAACAATAAGGGAAGCGTAATATTCGTATCGACAATCTTATTGGTGTACTAAAAGCATAGACACCTCCATTCCCGGTAACAGAAAAACGCGATGTACCGATCTAACGCCAAACTCTCACTAGAAATTCCGCATCGAAACGAATGGGTTTTTACATTGCGGACGGGCGACGGGAAAAAGTTGTAAATCCCGTCGCCATCGCTCATCGTCCATCATTCATCATTCGAAATTAATTCCGCCGTCGCGCTTCCCGGCTCGCGTTCCGTTGCTCTTTCTGCGATTCGCCGCCCGGGATTCGTATTACGATGGAGTATCAATGCGACAACGATATTAAAAAACCTGCCAAGTGCGAGTCGGGATCGTGCACGAAGGTGTTCCGTACCATTATCTATATAAGGGGCAAAAAAATTATGTCTGTTGTATGGGAGTCCCACTCAAATATTTATTCCTTGTTATTTAGTATTTGTTGTTATAGCTGCAACAGAAATACATCATCTGTGAAAATTTCAACTGTCTAACTATCACGGTTCTTGAGATACAGCCTGGTGACAGAAGGACAGACGGACAGACAGACCAGCGGAATCTTAGTAATAAGGTCCCGTTTTACCCTTTGGGTACGGAACCGTAAAAATCGCGCAACTCGTCTAAGGGAGCATATCTGCGATACAAACGAAAGGGCGGCGCTAATAATTTTTATTAACAAGAAACAAAACCGACTTCAAATTTTCTATTTGGAAGAGTTACCTGATATATCTCCGGCCCAAGGTCCGATACCAATTGAATTTAATGTGGGACCACGTTGGAGCAAAAACAAAAGTTCTGAGGTAACAAACATACAAAGAAAACGCGGTTGCGTTTTCTTGTCTTCAGAAAAGGCGGGGATTCTTTTGAAATTGAAATCTCCGCGTTTTCTGAAAATCGCTCGTTTCATAGAAACACGTCAGTTAGTCGATGCCAGCTTCCGCGTGCCCAATTAGCCGTATTGTTTACTTAGATTACGAATCGTATCGCGTCAATCCCTCCTCTAGGCGCGAGCGCGCATCGCCGGCGGGGCGCTCGACGCCGGAGAACAATGGAGTGAGCAGGTAAGTGGCATTTAGCTCGGAGCGGGTAAAGAGCTACGGCGAGCCGGCACCGTTCGCTAATTAGGTAGAAACACGAGAATCGTGGGGAAAAATGTTCACCGACCCCCGTGATATTATCGCGAAGCGCTTTGATAATATTGAAAATCTTTCAAAGGCCACGAAAATAAGAATAAAAATCATCGTCTTGTATGTCTAACGCACGTGTAACATTTTTTTTTTCCATTCGTAACAAGGCAAAAAATTATAATAGCGAAAATACCGTCTGATGAGGCGAACGTGGGGTTCTTATGGTATTAGAGAAAGTATCAATGTTCAAAGCCCAACCATATCAAACGCTAATTTTATATTGAAACGCGCAACAAGCATAACACGTAACATTCCTTTGTGCGACATGTCATTATTTGCCTTTACGCTTTGATACTTTTTAAGTCTCTCTGAGAATAACAAATATGACTTCATTTTATATTACCATTTCATTTCGTATGAAATAATTTTATGAAAACTCTCAGTATTATAAACAAAGTAGTAAAGTAAGAGCCTACGTAATATGTCCCATTGCTGGGCAAAGGCCTCATCTGAACAGAGGGAGGGTATTTGGGCATAGTCCAGTACGAGACCCCACTGCGGATCTACGGACACCACATAAATCCGAAAGATTTTTTTGTTATTATTTCGAAAATATCCAGGTTTCGGATGTTTCGTTCACAGCTGAGCACGTGATAAGTCAGCACTTAAAATTAACAATTTCATTGGTTCAGGCACCCGGGAATTGCACTCAGGTTACTCGAGTGTGTTGAATTAAAATTAAATCTGGAAACGGCCAATGTTGCACTCAATTACTCCATTATACTCTTAGTTACCACAAAGTCAACAAATTTGGAATTTGGAATTAAAATCAGGAATCGAAGCTGACCATTGACACATTTGAATTAATTTTCGATTAATTGATTGATTTGACTTCATTTAATTACATATTAGAACCAAAACAAGTCATAGTTTTGTTTTTTTTCAATTTAACAACCAAAAGGGTGTGCTGCGATCCAACGCATTCGCAGCACACTCCTATACTTTAAAAATTAAAAAAACAAAATCTTCCACAGTCAATCTTTAAATCAAGAAACCAACAACTACTGCACTAATAAAGCCAACGTGGCAATATGTATTATAAAAGATCACAAGCATCTGAAAAAATATCTTAAGCTTCTCCGTACCGTATCGTTATAGAAAACACACCTTAGGGAAAACATTTGTACAAAGAATTACTTCACAATAAACCCCGTAACAAGCAAAGCACGTTATATTTTATTGAGTTCGGCACTTCATTATTATCTTCTTATTTTCCTTTTTGCCTTGATACCTTATAATACCTTTTTGCTATGAAAGATTACGCTCTATTTGAGAGCGAAATAATTGAGCAAATTACATCGCAAATCGCCTTAGAGAAGCGAAATTCTGCAAATTAGGTACTTAAAGGATTTTCGAACGTTCTAGTACGCCCAATAAACGCTTCGGTACTTCAGAGACTACGCGAAAGCAAATAATAAAAACAATTTCGCCTTGTTCGCATATTTTGCAGTATACCTTCGTAACAAATACCTCGCTGTAGAGCAAATCAAGTGTCGCGTTTCCAACATTGATTATTCTATTTCAACTATTGCTCATCGGTGTAATAGATTCTGGTCAAGGGTTTCCAACGGTTTACTCTTGCGTTGGTGATATATAAACACGTGTGCACAAAATAAAGGAGGGAACCGTGTTTCGCATTAATTATACCTAACAAACAACCGATAACATATATCATATTCCATGGAAGTATAAGAATATTATAATTTTCATAAGAACGGGCAGTTTTCACGTCGTAATGGGGTATAAGCAACAAACTATAATTAAGGGTTTTTAAATTATTTGATGATACTAAACAACAAAAACGTATTCCTTTCGCATCGAGAGCCATTATAGGCGACATTTGTGA